TCTCTTTTCCCCCCCCCCGCTTTTTTCCCTTCCCCTTCCCGCTCTCCTCCTCTCTCTCTCTCTCTCTCATACATCTCTCTCTCTCCTCTCTCCCGCTCCCTCTCAATGTAATATCTCGCGCGTACCCTGTCTCTCTCTCTCTCTCTCTCTCTCTCTCTCTCTCTCTCTCTCTCTCTCTCTCTCTCTCTCTCTCTCTCTCTCTCTCTCTCTCTCTCTCTCTCTCTCTCTCTCTCTCTCTCTCTCTCTCTCTCTCTCTCTCTCTCTCTCTCTCTCTCTCTCTCTCTCTCTCTCTCTCTCTCTCTCTCTCTCTCTCTCTCTCTATATCCTTCCTAGTCCTCCTGCTCCTTTCTTCCCATCCCTGCCTTTACACCTTTCCCGCCTTGATTTCTGAATGCTGCTGCAGCTTTCCAAGGCGATCAAGGGGAGTCGACTGGTCACTATAGAAGGGGGAGGGCACAACAATCTATTTGGGTCTCGTTTCGAGCAGCAGGTTGAGCGGATCGTGTGATGTCGCTGTTAGCTCTACATGTGGCTGTGCTACTTGTTGAAGATGAGGAGGATGGTGACGATGAACACGTTGCTGCTGATGATGATGACATGATGATGATGATGATTATGATGACGATGATGATAACGATGATGACGGTGTCCACATCGATGATGCAGAATGCACAATTACACGTCGGAATTACTCAAGTTGGTGTCCAGGTGCTCGATTCCATCGCCCTCCTCGCCAAGTCGACAGCAACCGTCGAGCAGAAGAAGCCTTGAGGGAGGAAGCAACTGCGAGTCGCTGCAGGCATCGCTACTGTCCCGCAGTAGTTCGATCAGGAGGGAGCGAGGAGCGAGGAGCGAGGAGCGAGGGGATTATTCATATCAGAGATCATGTCTTTTCTTAGTTGTCATCGCAAGATGTAAATTTTCGATTGCCGAACCAGCTGCTCATGGAGCTGCCGCACGTCAGCGGAGGAGGACGAGAGTTTCTGTGATAGTTGCTGGATCGTTTCCTCCACCTCCCTCACGAGCGATCGGAAGCAGCGATCCGCTGCCCTTGGCACCTTCAGCACGCATGCAGCCTTTTGCAGCAGCGGCTCTACACGCCTCCTGTACGCCTCCTCTGCCTCCTCCCCTCTCCTTGTCACTTTGCTGGTCCAGACCTTAGCAGCAGTGTTATGATCCCTTCGCAGCTCCTGCAGCACAGAGACTTGCGAACAATCCTCCTCCCGGTTGTTGGAATCAAGACTATCGCTCCTAGCTCTCTTCCTCGTGGGAGTGGTGTGAGTGGACAGGGTCGGAGATTTTCCCTCCTTCTCAGCTCGTTCGCGCGTGGACCAGAAGTCCTTCCCGTAATCCACGACGATCTCCTGACCCCTGCGGATGGAGCTCAAGGAGAGGACGGCGATGCTGGGCCAACCTGCTCGCACCCACGTCAGATCCCCCCCATCCCCCTCCTCCTCCTCCTCCTCCTCCTCCTCCTCCTCCTACTCCTACTCCTACTCCTACTACTCCTCCTCCTACTCCTACTCCTACTACTACTCCTCCTCCTCCATCACCGTTGATCCACACATGAAGGTACCGAGCGTTCGCCTGCTCTGCAATGTTGCGGAAGTCGTTTGCGTAAGTCATCTCATTCCCGACCCTCCGCCCTCGGATGTACATGGGAGGGAGGGGGCAGTCGTCGTAGTACTCCATCAGGTTCAGGTCGTAGTTTGCCTCCTTTGCTAACTTTGCAATGTCCTCATCAGGATTGTCATCGATCATCACTTCCCCGACGTACTCCCCCAGCACTTCCATCGGCGCTATGTCCTCCCTTGCAACACAGTCAGTGACTGCCAAGACAAGATCAATAGGGTCACTTGGCAAACAGCCCAAACACCCTCTCCCCCAGCACATTCTGCGACTTGAATGCTGGATGGTCGACATCGCAGATCTCTTTCACGCAGATTTTCGGATTCACCAGTCCCTTACTGCATTGACGAACCCTTTCCAGGATTGTCATCAGGTCGTGTTCCCCGCCCCTTTCCAAGTCTTTCACGTCGATGTTCATACATTCCACCACGTCTCTTCCTGTCTTTCTGAACCTTCTCGCCACCTTCTCGTACTCAGCTTGAACCATCGGCGACAAGATGTTCAGCGCAGTGTACTTCCTTCCGTTCGGCTTTGACTGCACATCACAGTGCCGGTAGAGGTCCTGAGGGCAAAGTTATCCCTTGGTAAGAGTAGAGAACAGAGCTGAAGAGGCTGTGAGAAAGAGGAATACCTCATCATCATAGATGTAAATCGTTTCGTCGTCATTCCTCTCTGAAGTATCCTCGATGTCTTCATAAGTGCAGAACCGCGCCAGCGGAGCATTTTCCTCTCCTTGTTGAAGCTCTACTGTGATTTGCTCTAGAAACACAATCCCGCGAGCTGTCATGTGATACTTTTCCATTGCATTGAACCCCTCCGTATCGTCCTCAGCATAGAACTTGGCAGGCCTGATGTGGTGATTCGAACATATGTCAGGTAGAATGTACATTTCAAGCAATCACTCACTTCTTTCCTGCATTCCTCAGGCTCCTCCTCAATGATTCGTTCAGAGTCATTCTATCTCCTGTTGAGTCAACTCAGACGAGGTCAAGGAGTGTCGATCACGGAAGGAACAAGCAGCATGTGGCGACCCTTGTTGACATGGTCATGAATTTTCCAAGTGCGCTGCGAGAGAACAGCATTGCAGATGATAGGTCACGTGGATGGGGGAGGCAGAGGAAGGAAGGCGAACAAGAGCAAGGGAACATCAGGATGAGGAGGTTGAGAGAAGGAGGTCAAGGAGGACGGGATGTTATACCAGGGAATTCAGGGGAAAATGGATCTTGAACAAGGGAGAGGAGAAAAGAAATGCACGAAAGAAGCTGAGTAAGAAACGAAGAGAGCAGGAGGGTGAAGGATGAAGAGAAAGAAGGAGGGTGTGAGAGGATGATGATGCGAGGGGAGGAAGAAGGAAAGAGGGGCAAGACGAGAAGATATAAGGTATAGACGCAGGAGCAGGAGCAGGAGCAGGAGCAGGAGCAGGAGGAGCAGGAGCAGGAGCAGGAGCAGGAGCAGGAGCAGGAGGAGCAGGAGCAGGAGCGAGGAGGAGCAGAAGCAGCGAGGAGCGAGGAGCAGGAGC